CGAAAAGTTACTGTGACAGCTACTTTCTGCTCACGGCTGCATGAAAGGCCCCCCGAGCTTCTACCTGCTCTGTCTGCGCCGATAGAGATCAGCAGACAGGCGAGAATGGGAACAGATGAGCACTACATAGAGCCCACCGGTATGCAAAAAGGTCCTGGGGAGCCAAAGACTAAAATGTAGAAGTAACTTACTGGTACCGGTGGCCCACTTCAAGCACCGACTATTATCAAAATTGACACCACTTATCTGTGAAGCTGTAGTCATTCTGACAAAAATGGCCTTAATACGTCCAGACGATCCAATCCAGTAAAAGATTTAGTCCAAAGCGCATTATTATATCAATAAATACACATGAACTGCTCTTACGAGATTTTATATTAGCCTAACTGCTGTTAGCATGTAACCAAAAAAAGTGTCTACGCGTTGACCTTTTGGGTGACACCTTAAATGACCCAACAGAAACTTCCATGCCGTGTTCACGGCCTACAATAGCCAATGAGTGTCCACGTATATTGGGAAGTGCCAGTCCCCTTTCTGTATAAACCGACAGAGACACCGGGCTACCAATTGTGCAGAGGAAGACTGGTTCTTCACACACATATCACGCGACAGTTAAAAAAAAATGCCCGAATATTTCCCATAGACATTAACATACTGTATATTGTCGTATAGAAAAACACCCAATGCCAGAATTCCGGCACAGCACCGGAGAACTTTAAGCCCTGTGTAATCACTGGTTACATTAATGCTGCGACACAGTTAAATTATAGCTCACTGTGTTGTATGAAGTGGTAACAGATGTGAATGCAAATAGCAGATACAGCTCAGGGCCATGTGTTGCAACTATTGTCTCCCAGTAGTCAGTGTGTCCCGATTCCAATTATAAAATCGGAAATCGAATGAAATGAGCTTTCTGAGATTCTCCTAGTATTTATTCTCTCCAACCCTGCCTACTTGGGTTCGTCCAATGCAGTGTTTCAGACTAACTTTTTTCCTCGGTTGCACTGGTGCAACTACATTTTTCATAAAGGTGCACCTAAATTTTGTGGCAGTGCACCTACATTTTTCACAGCCTCTTTAGCAACTTAACAGTATATTCTAACCTGCTGCCATTTCCCATACACACATTGATAGTTATATAAATGATTGTAAACAGGCTATGTGCATTGCCAATGCCATAGGTATAGGCACCGCAGGAGTGTAAATACAGCGCCATCTCTGCTTTTGATTGGCTCTCACTTTCTTCCACAAGGGAGTTTTAGGGAAAACACACAGATGGAGAAAAAAAACTGTCCTGCCAAATATTAGGTGCACCAGTGCGACCAAGAAAAACATTTAGTTGCACTAAACAGATTTTTTAGTCACACTCTGGAGCCATGGTCGAACGTACATTCAGGGCGTGTCCAATATGAGAAAATTACACTACTTCACTGCTATTTTCACATCTAGACATCTAGATCTGAACCTGATCCAATGTGGTAGTGAAAACAGCAGTTAACTCACACTTTTTTTGCATTTTCACAAATAGAGTACAGGTTTCACAAATATCTTTAGCTTCTCTGGAATAATCTAGTTCAGATTTGACAGGACAGCAGTTTTTGATCTGGACCTGGTCCAATGTGGTCTAGATGCGAAAAAAGCAGTGAAATCGCCTTTTTTTGCATTTTCACAATTACAATAAAAGGTTTTACAAATTTGAAAGTGGGTTTCAGACAGCGTTAAGGCATTACTTAAAATGAAGGATGGGTCACTCAGCAGTGTAAGTTAACTTTCCCTTAACTGCAACTGTTTGAAGCTAACTACAGTGTTGTGGCCACTGCTGGAGTCAGAGATATCACAGTTCTTTCATTGACCTTCGCTGTTCACCATCACTACGGTTATCTAGTTAGCTCAGTGTTAAATTTAAACTCTGATCATTTGTACAAATTAGGACAAATTGGTATGCATGCTTCCCCACCAGTAACAGGAAGCTTCATATTAGCAGTATTAAGCTAGCAGTATTAACAATTAACAGTGCCATTGTATGTAGTCATAGTAAGCAACATAGATATATAATAAGAGAATTAGAGCTCTAATAAGACATCTATTGTAAGCAGGCACTAATAAAGAATCGTCTTCTTCGTGTTTTTGGCGAATTGCAATTTCAAATGCCTTAGTCTTCTCTAATGAACTTTGCTCTACATTATATAGCGACGTCACGGTTCTAGATCGGCCCACTGTGGGTTTAGAGGTTTAACTGGAGGCTCACGTTGCGCCCCCTCATGCAGCGCCCCCTGGTCTACAAACTGCAGTGAACCCTTCCCAACTTCCCACAACAAACCTGCTAAATCACATTATGGTTCGGGTTACTCACAAGGCCACTTTCCTTAAAGGGGGTTGGTGGCTTTTTGCAGGCGAGGAAAGTCAAGCTGTTGTTGTAAAGTACCTTTATGCCATGTCATGACTCTTCTTGTAGTTCTGTTTAACAGCTTGTTTGCAAATGAATGGTAAAATAAGTTATTATTATTATTTGTTATTAGTTACATTTTAAATGAATTATTAGTGCGGTATGTTCCCACACAAATATGGCAGTTATATCACACTTGATACCTTTGTAAAGAAGAAATTGAAAATTTAAATGGCAGTTGTCAGGTCATAAAACAAATGATAGGATATCTGTACAAATCAAGACTGTATAGTCTAAAAATGCCATAGCATGGTTGCAGACAATCTGCATGCTCATGATTTATTTTCACTAGCAGATGCTGAAAAGAAAAAGTCTAAATCAAAAATCAAATCACGACCTTAACAATTGAAAGTTTAGCCAAATAGTAGAGTTGGAGAATTGTAACACATCTACCCAGTAGCCCAGGGCCATCAGCTTTACATGCAACCAGCATGACATACTTCTGTTCTCTGGTATTTGTTTACCACTTAAGTTCTTCTTGAAACTATGTCAAACAACTTCATGCAAATATGTATAGTTTTATAACTCTATGGTTACATATGCGTGCACTGATAAACATATTCAGACACTACAAGTGAGACCGCACATAATAACTGGACTTGGGAGTAGAAACCCAACATAGTTGTTGTGACCCCGTGTCTTGATTTATTTGGAGGACTCTTGGTTAGCAGAGGAACTTAAACTTTTAACATGTAAGTTGGTATCTTGTATGAAGGTTAAAATGACTGATGTGTGATTACTGATAAATTTCCTCTCTACTTTATCATAACATAGATAATATTTACAGTAATGGCAACACAACATAATACTATATCTACTGTGCACATACAGTTCTAAATTAGTCTTAAGTAGTTTGCAAGTTTATGGTTACATACTCAAGCCCCATCATTGTAGTGAAGTCACTCAAGGCTTTGAATTGTATGATTTTCAATTAGCACATGAAAAAAACACTATTCACCTCAATTTTCTTTTATCTCTTTATCTTTCAATGAACAGTGATATGATGAATAATTGCAGTCTAAATATACAAGATACTACGTAAAACACAAATGTTGATAAGGCAACAGTACCTGATGCTTTCTAACTACATTTTTATGAAGGATAAAACTGCCAGATGACCCGATGATTAGGGAGATTATAACGATGTCAGTGTCAACATTAACTTCTAACGTTATCTTGACACAGGACAGCTATAAAGTTCATAAACCAATAATAGCTATTTTCTGCTTTGCTGGTACAAAACTCTTGTACAAATAAGTGCTAGTTGTTATACCTACCGGTGTGGCTGCATTGGACATAAAGAACTGCTTTTGTTGTTTACGCTACTCACTTCTGGCCAAAATGTCAACTCTCCACCATAAACAGAGCAGAGCGAGGCCCTGACTCGCGGGTGTCCCTTTACTTCAACAATGCTACCGCAGATAGCAACCGAACTTAGCAGGCATGCTAACATCCTTCATGACAGCACAGTACACGTTAAAGTGAGCCAATATCTTAGGACAACGGATGTACTATAATGCAATAATGATGTTTATTGTTGTTTAATAATCGAATACATATCTATTTGGACAGTTCGCCAACTTAACAGGGTAACTAGCTAGCTAACACTCCTGTGAGCGAAAGCCTTGTTTTTGACTGCCAATCTAACTTACCCTGTCTGCTGCGGACTCGGTGGGGGAGACAGAGCCAACAGCGTGCAAAAACAATCCCATTTTAAGAGCCGAACATACGCCTCTCATTCCTCGAAAAAGTAGCTACAGCTACGGCAAAAAACATACGCATGCAAACACTGTTGTTCGGGAACTGTGTCCGAATATCCTCAACTATTTCTCAGCCCCTGTCTCGCTGAGACGCCGCCTGAATGCGTACTAGACATTTCAACAAGGCACGGTGCTGGCGCAACTGGTCGCTGTCGGTGCCAGTGATATGGCTGTTACACAAGCCGTTCCTTCAGCACAGGCACTCTGCCTCGGTCTGCTGGGTGTGGCGTGGTCACCTCGACCCGATCCATGTGCGCAACGTGATGGGCGTTCAATTGAGTGGATCGCCACTGGTTTTGCGGACTGACCCGCGATTGGACAGTCAGGCCAGCTGGGAAGGGGCTGACCAATCACTGATCGGTGCGTCTCCAGTGCATGGGCTTTCTTCCTGTGCTCCTCTTCCCTGATTGATGGGAACACATGTTTAAAAGATTAGTTAAGAGTTATTGATCCAATTTAAAATCCTGTAAATTGTGTTATCCACCCTTATTAGACCGCATTCAAAGTGCACCCTCATGGGAGGAAGGTTCCACATTGTACCAAAGGCCAGTCAAATTCATACCCAGCAAGTCAGCTCACACTGCAAATAGAAGTCAGAACTGAAGATGCCTCTTGGATGAGATGCAAAACGTCTTCAGGTATCCTTGGATAACTATGACCTGGATAACTGAGAATCTTCACAGACCGCAAACTGTCTTCTCAATTTCCGACTAAAGCTTGTAAACATAAAACAGCCCAAAGTCAACTAATGTGCAGTTCTGAGATAATTAAGGAAGACACAGGAAGACATCTGCTATTACCCTTCAGTATGTTTTATTCATATTACTCATCTTTAATAAAAATACGGTGTCAAGGCTCTCCTATATAAAATGTCTTTAGGCCAGTTCACTCAGCGTGCAAAATCACACACCTTTCCACTTAATTCTAGTGGGATCTAGTCCTGAAGATAATTTTGGATTTAACTGTTTAGAGATATTCACATTTGAAACTTTTGCTGCCAGCACTGTATAATGGACATTTGTACAACTTAACAATGTTCGTAGTTACTCATCTTAATCCATCTACTTTCTGCTGAAGAAACCATCCGTACAAAATAACAATTGTAATTTTTAAAGGCTGTGGACTGTACAACAAAATTCCATTTATTGTATTGTACTGGGGTGGTAGTTAAAGTTTTAGAGATGGACATCTCAAAACCTCGGCACATACCACTTAAACAATCTGGAGGGACAGATACCATTAGGGTTAAGTAAGAAGAAGTGTTGGTTTTGAGACTTGAATGAACTCAATCCTTTAATCTGTGGAGTAAAATTAGCATTCAAGTCAAACAGGGATCTTACATGAGTTGTGAAGCAGTAAAACATCATTAAAATAAGTTATTCAGGCAGATTCCATTGTCATTATCCATCAATCATCATGATTTATCATAAAGCCAGACAAGGCATTGTGACTGGCTTGTTGACTAGCAAATCATCACCAGTCCCTTTCATGAGCCTGCCTGTACGGTATGCCTAAAAGACTAAAACATCCTCCTCTGTCAGTGTAGAAAGTGGAGTGCCGCCATACATCTTCAAGTTACCATGGCGCACCACATCTTTGTTCAATGAGTGCTCTGATAAACTCATGTTTTTTGTCTTTGCCAGGGCTCTCATTGAGCGGTTGAAGTGTGCCGACCCGGTGAAATACATGAGAGCACAGGCAAACTCATTGTAGGGCACTACAATGATGTCCAGCCTGCGATGGCGGTGGCCGGGTCCTGGCAAACGGCACACACCCATGTATTCTTCTGCTCTCCATTCTCCTCGTGGCTCACCAGATCATCCGTCAAAAACCCTTAGAAATAAACAGTTGGGTTTTTCAGTTTCTCTGAAGGAAAACAAACCTCTGAATAAGATGTGGGGAAATCCTTAGCCCCTACAAAGAAAGATGGACCTTACCACTGTCATGGAGGCTCTGCAGTACTTTGCTGAAAACGCCCTTGTGGGACTTGCCATCAGGATGAGTTATAAGTACGTCAACATCTCCACATGTGGCCTTTCTCCGTCGGTAGGAGCCACATGCCATCGCCACCAGCTGTGGGTCTATGGCCTGGGTAGCATCCCTCACCTGCACATACCCCCACCCCCAAAAAAGACTAAAAATAAAATTATATATATATAAAAATATTTTATATTATAATATTTTTAAAAAGTATGATACTGAAAAATCTGGTAATATGGTAATATTTTTTTACAGTTTTGTGTTTGATTTTCACTTCTTTGTAACATCTAAGCAGCAGCAGAGTGATAATGGACACTGAGTGCTGTAAATATGACAATATTTAATAAAAAACACAATTGTAGAAACATCTTAATATTTGCCACTAGCCACCAGACTGCCACAAGGTGCCACAGAGTGCAACAGGGTGCCACTAGCTGCAAGAGGGTGCCACTAGTGCCACAGAGTGCCAACTAGCTGTCACAGAGTGCAACAGGGTGCCACTAGCTGTCACAGAGTGCTACAGGGTGCCACTAGCTGCCAGAGGGTGCCACTAGTTGCCGCAGAGTGCCACAGGGTGCCACTAGTTGCCACAGAGTGCAACAGGGTACCACTAGCTACCATAGAGTGCCACAGGGTACCACTAGCTACCATAGAGTGCCACAGGGTGCCACTAGCTACCATAGAGTGCCACAGGGTGCCACTAGTTGCCACAGAGTGCAACAGGGTACCACTAGCTACCATAGAGTGCCACAGGGTGCCTCTAGCTACCACAGAGTGCAACAGGGTGCCAGTAGTTGCCACCTAGTGCCACAGGGTGCCACTAGCTACCACAGAGTGCAACAGGGTGCCACTAGCTGCCAGAGGGTGCCACTATCTTAATATTTGCCACTAGCCACCAGACTGCCACAAGGTGCCACAGAGTGCAACAGGGTGCCACTAGCTGCAAGAGGGTGCCACTGGTTGCCACAGAGTGCCAACTAGCTGTCACAGAGTGCAACAGGGTGCCACTAGTTGCCACAGAGTGCCAACTAGCTGTCACAGAGTGCAACAGGGTGCCACTAGCTGCCACAGAGTGCAACAGGGTGCCACTAGTTGCCACCTAGTGCCACAGGGTGCCACTAGCTACCACAGAGTGCAACAGGGTGCCACTAGCTACCACAGAGTGCAACAGGGTGCCACTAGCTGCCAGAGGGTGCCACTGGTTGCCACTAGCTGCCAGAGGGTGCCACTGGTTACCACAGAGTGCAACAGGGTGCCACTAGCTGCCAGAGGGTGCCACTGGTTGCCACTAGCTGCCAGAGGGTGCCACTAGCTACCATAGAGTGCCACAGAGTGCCAACTAGCTGTCACAGAGTGCAACAGGGTGCCACTAGTTGCCACAGAGTGCCAACTAGCTGTCACAGAGTGCAACAGGGTGCCACTAGTTGCCACAGAGTGCCACAGGGTGCCACTAGCTACCATAGAGTGCAACAGGGTGCCACTAGTTGCCACAGAGTGCCACAGGGTGCCTCTAGCTACCACAGAGTGCAACAGGGTGCCACTAGTTGCCACAGAGTGCAACAGGGTGCCACTAGTTGCCACAGAGTGCAACAGGGTGCCACTAGCTGCCAGAGGGTGCCACTAGTTGCCACAGAGTGCCACAGGGTGCCTCTAGCTACCACAGAGTGCAACAGGGTGCCACTAGTTGCCACAGAGTGCCACGGGGTGCCTCTAGCTACCACAGAGTGCAACAGGGTGCCACCCTGGCTGCCACAGGGTGCTACAGGGTGCCACTAGCTATCACAGAGTGCTACAGGGTGCCACTAGCTGCCACAGACTGCTACAGGGTGCCACTAGCTGTCACAGAGTGCTACAGGGTGCCACTAGCTGCCACTACCTGCCACAGGGTGCTATAGCATGCCACTACCTACCAAGGATGGCCACTAGCTGCCACAGACTGCCACCCTGGCTACCACAGAGTGCTACAGGGTGCCACTAGCTGCTGCAGAGTGCCACTAGTTGCCACAGGGTGCTACAGGGTGCCACTAGCTGCCACAGGGTGTTACAGGGTGCCACTAGCTGCCACAGACTGCCACCCTGGCTACCACAGAGTGCTACAGGGTGCCACTAGCTGCCACAGGGTGCTACAGGGTGCCACTAGCTGTCACAGAGTGCCACAGGGTGCCACTAGCTGCCACAGAGTGCCACAGGGTGCCACTAGCTGTCACTAGCTGTCACAGAGTGCCACAGGGTGCTATAGCATGCCACTACCTGCCAAGGATGGCCACTAGCTGTCACAGAGTGCTACAGGGTGCCACTAGCTGTCACAGAGTGCCACAGGGTGCCACTAGCTGCCACAGGGTGCTACTAGCTGCCACAGGGTGCTACAGGGTGCCACTAGCTGTCACAGAGTGCCACAGGGTGCCACTAGCTGCCACAGGGTGCTACAGGGTGCCACTAGCTGCCACTAGCTGCCACAGAGTGCCAACTAGCTGTCACAGAGTGCCACAGGGTGCCACTAGCTGCCACAGGGTGCCACTAGCTGCCACTAGCTGCCACAGGGTGCTACAGGGTGCCACTAGCTGCCACTAGCTGCCACTAGCTGCCACAGAGTGCCAACTAGCTGTCACAGAGTGCCACAGGCTGCCACTAGCTGCCACAGGGTGCTACAGGGTGCCACTAGCTATCACAGAGTGCCAACTAGCTGTCACAGGGTGCCACTGGATGCCCCAGCGTGCCACAGGGTGCCACAGAGTGCCAAAGGGTCTCTGTTTCCAGCCAAATACTGGGAGGTAGTTTTGCTAAAGCATCACATATTATTTTTGACAAGCCTGAGGGAGTACACATGCTTTCTTCATCTATCTCATGTGTACTTACTATTTGGCAGCGTTGGAGGAAAAAGAAAATCCAAGTAATACAATATGAAAACAACTAGCGTTATTCTCGCTCTGGAGTGAACAGGTATCTGGCTAACTCAAGATGCAGCAAGTTTCAAGAGTTAGTTTTCCCCTTTGGGATGCTCCACTTTGTGAGAACACAGTATGGTTTTCCCATTATCAAGCAGTCAAGGAAAGCTGACACAAACCTTTTCCTACTTCAAGCCTTCCGCTTCCAAATGTTTGAGGGGTACTGGGGAATCTTTTTCAAAAATGTCTCACCTCAAAACTTGACTAAACATGTTTCACTCATCATTACAGAATGATACATATAGATACTGCGACAAATGAAGATGCATTACCACTTTCTCTATGGCTGCTGCTTCTTCTCTAGGCATTCGGTCTAGAAAGTCATTGTAGTGCTTGAGTCCTATTTTCTGAGTGTTGCTCAGGTGAGCTTTTGCGCGGATATCCTCCAATGTGCGAAATCCCTAAAAGAGAATAACATTTTTAAGAAAATCTTCAAAGACTACAGAATGTTATTTATTAAACATTGCCTCCCATTTCCTTCTTGCCATAATTATTAATTTAATTAGGATTGAATATATAGCCCACAGCTTAATTTCTATTCCTTAAGGTTCTGATGAAGATCACACAACTCGTTTTTTATTTCTGTTATCTTTTCATAAAGCACAGTATTACCAAGCAATAAAAGCCCCAATGAAGAAGCTCCTAAGTAAAAGGGACCCATAGCCCGACAGATACTGGATTTTTGAGGACAATGCAGAAATATTTTAGAGCTTAGATAATCCAATAATGATCTAACCATTTTAACATCTGTAAACAAATATTTTAGAAAAGGATCTCTTAAATTTGATTTTTAAAGCGTTAGGGTTAGGGTTAGTACGGAGTGGGACATTTTTTTTAATTTAAAATATATGTCAGTGCTCTCTGGTGGACAAATTATTTATTGGAAACACCATTTCTTATGCCTCAAACATATCTTTGGCCTTTCTGCACTGCCATTTCTTGTTACTTATGCAAATACCAATTTATAGGAAATAAGCTAATATCGGTAATATAACGGCCCAGCTATCTTATCAGTCAGTCTGTAAACCAGAATGTTAATCTGGACTGTATTTCTATTGTCTTACATATCTTTTACTACAAGTAGATATCTTGTCACCGTGTTGTAAACTGTACATTGATGTGAATAGCATATGGGTAAATAAAACTTCAAGTATGTCGGCATTATTTTAATTCAACGTGTGTGTATGCCTTACCTGTTGGTACCACAACTGTGCAGTTTTAACTCCTGCACCCCAGATGTTACTAAAGAGCTCCAACACAGGCACAGCCTCTCCAATGTGATCTAGCTTTCGCAGGTGGCCGCTTTCCATGATCTCATCAATTTTGTCGGCCATGCGTTTTCCAATTCCTGGGATCTGACAAGCCTCCTAAAACAAACGAAAAAAAGCCTGTTAAAGACAGGAATATACGCAAAATAATCCCCGTATCGTGGACTTTAAATAAACTGTGTATTTACCTTTTTTACAACAAAAACTACATGCCACTACCAACAACATAATATTAAAAGCATCTGCTATAGGTTACCTGATATGATGTAATAGGCTTATGGTAACTCTTCAGTGCGTTTATAGCTTTAGAGTAGCCCAGTGCCCTCCACTTGTCCCCCTGGTGTGTGTACGCCTTTGCCAGGACTTCTAGTTTGTCTGTGATGTGCTTGTTGAAGTTGTGATTTTTGGATTGAGAGGACTGGGCACAGACCCACTTCCCTGAGACCAGCTTCTGAGCTGCTGAGTCTGGACCAGGATCAAGACTGGGGCCGGGAGTCTCCTCTTTGGGGTGCTGGCCAGTGATGAGTGCTTCCAGATCACTCTGAGAGACCCCGTCTTCCTCTCCTTGCACTTCCTCTTTGGTGTCTGGGACTGTCTGAGAGTAAAATGTAATGTAAAGCTATAATAACAATCCAACACACACTGACTTTTGATGTGTTTAAGGTCTAGCTTCTGTCCCAAATTCCCTAAAATGATAAATGACTGAAAGACTTACTTCATAAGAAACCTGTAAAACTGTGTTTTCTACACATGACCTGGAAACCTACCATGTCTATGGTCTCCTCTTGATTGTTTTGATCCGACACTGGCTGCACAGATGGCTTGACATTTGGCAACTCTTCTTTAATATTTTCATGACGTGTTTCAGATTCCCTAAGTAGAGAGAACATTAAGAGATGTGATAAGAGCGACGACTCATTGAATTTTCTACTATATCTGTTGTCTCAATGTATGCAGTTTTGTAAATACTTTGAAGTGGCAAAAGTGATGAAGTGAAGTGACGTGAAGTGAAGATGAAGTGAAGTGAAAAGTTGATTTGCATTCACCATGGCTTGCTCCTATGTAGTGTATTGACAAGCATAGATAAACTGGTAACATCATGAGATTAACGACATCTTCCAGAAATTAGCATTCTAAAAAGTACTATTAGGTCATGAACCTCTTGGGTAGAAGAAGGCTGTAGCTGTCAACATCCAGCATTTGTTTCTCACTGATGCACAGGCTCAACCAAGTACATTTCAGCAGGTGGACTCCTGAGGGCATGTAATCTACTTTCAGTAAGCGCAGAGCCCTGTCGATATTCATGTTGTCATCCACAACAACATGAGTGACACTGGGACACAGTGAACTCTCCGTCTGTCCTCCATTCTGCTGAATTTGTCTTTGGAAGATCTGGTATCTGGCATTTCCTATTCCAGCAGGCAGGATGTACACAGTGACACCATTAAAAGTGTTTCCTGGGACAGAAGTAAGGGAACACGTTACATTGAGCAAATATGTTGCATATTGTGGCTTCTTCTTTTTATTCACAAATTTTTCATCCACACACACGCAAAAAAAAAAACCAGTACCAACCTGTCACATCACATTCATCAGGTTTCTTCTTTACTGGGGGAGCATCCTTTCCGTGTAACGCTTTGGCTCTTTTAACTTTCGGGAATGCTTTCATAATCCCGTGACGACACTCCATCTTGTCTCTTAAAGGGGGCGCCAGTGACCTGCAATATGAAGCAAAATGAAGTTATCTATAAATGAGAGAAAAACTCATTCACAAATCTGGAAAGTGTATACAACTAACGGTACACTATACTATACTTATTCTCATAGTGTCAGAGTAACATAATATATATAGTGGGTTCACACTGGAAAATTGATTTTAGTATTACATAATGGGAAAACATTTTTTGGGATGCTATTTGTTTGTTATTTTGGATTCTGCTGTGGTTTTCAAAGTAACAGTTTGATAGCAGTGCAATTACACTGTAAAATACAACATTAAAGTCATGCATTCAAAAAGGTAATTAAGTATGTAAGTATTATCATCTAAATGTACTTAAGTATCAAAAGTAAAAGCAGAAGACAGAGTGCCCCCAGCCAGTCTTATATTACTAAATGTTATATTCGCTTATTTATTTACTAATGTATTAATGTGTAAGTTGCATGTTAAGGTTGTATCTAGTCGTTTGAGCTAATTTTAACGACATTAATCTTTTATTTAACAACACATGAATATTGTTAACATGATCATGTTGAAAGCATCAATCTTCAAAGTAACTAATAGTAACTGTAACGTTAGCTGTAATATGAATGTAGTAAACAATACAATAATTACCTTTGAAGTGAAGTAAATATTTGAATAACGTTATAATGTAGCATAATATCAACACACTAAACTAAAGTACAAGGACCTCAAATTAGTTTTTCCACAATACTGAACTAAACATACTTTGTGCCATTCCACCACTGCAATTGGATTGACGCTTGTCATATCAAATAACGTTACCGTAGTTAGAACAAAACAGCAAAGTACATTTATCGTACAGCTGCTGTGAGTTGTCAACAAGATCAATTAAGATAGGTTAAGACACAAGCTGAGAAATCAGTATTTCTTACCGCAACATAGTGTTAGCTAACTTGAATAACGTTAACTAACGTTAATGTTACCTTTTAACGTTACGTTAGCTTATGATGGTTTGAAACAGACAGTATTTAGACTATTTCAACTATCATTTTACTCCATATTTAAAGAATTCAAACATATCCATATATAATTGCACATTTTAAGCAGAAAACACTTTGAACTGTAATTTTTTGGCTCTTACCCCCGTTCTGGTGGATGGAACTAGAGCCCTGAATGTAACCATATGCACGCCGGAAAACAATACAATACAAACATTTCACTTCCGGGTCAATTATTTGTTTTAGTTTTGTTTAAAATGAATCTACATATTACAACTTTGTTGTTTGTTAGTCATTTTACGATGAAAATGATTTGTCAATTCTCTTATTTTCCTTTTTAATGTGTGTATCGACCTCGGTTGCTGTGGTTACGGGTTGAGTCCGGAAGTGGCCCCGTGCCAGAAACATCTTTAGAAACATGGCTGTGAAAAGCTGGATTGATATCCTAAAATCGTCAAAGAAAACAGCTTTGATACACGATGGTGAGTAACTAAAAAAGAAGAAAAACACTTTTATTGCTTTTTTTTTGCATCTGTCAACTCGCCAGAATGACGCCTCATTGCAACATAGCTAGCTTCCCAGCTAACAGGATTGTTACTAGGCGACAGGCAGGTGGTACAACGGACGCAGAAGCATATTACACACGTTGTTTTACTATAAACAGACACTGGAAAAACAGTAAGATATCTATAATTTATCAACAACACGTTGCCAATATAGCATATACAGTTTCTGAAAAGCTGTGTCCTAAATGTGAAGCATGTAATGCTTACTAATTGTGAGATGTGTCTGATCCCTTTATCCATCCATTTTCTGTTTACCGAAATTAACATAACAGCTGTTTTTATTTAACCAAATATGAATTAAATGTTGTACTCGTATGATCACATGTAATGCTGGATTAGCACTGAAGCTAGATGACTTGTTTTTGCTAAACTAGAAATAGAAACATTACAGTTGGTAACATTATAGTTTTCTGTTTGTTTTGTGTGTGTGTGTGTGTGCGTTGGTTTTGTATGATAAATCTTTACACAATCCACCTCCAGGAAAAAGAAAGATCCACTACCTCTTTACAGATGGAAAAGAAATGGCAGAAGAGTATGACTTGAAAACAGATGAGCTCACTGGTAAGCAACAGTTTTGAGTTTTACACAGCAGCATCTAAAGTAGCTGCTGGCGTTTTGACTTTCAATGGCATAAGTTTATGTTTCTTATAAAGCGTTTGGTACTTTTCAGTACGAAAGTGGCGTCATAAAAGCCCCCTTGGAGCTCAGGGCCAATGGCAGGTAGAGGTTGGGGAGCCACTTGCAGACCCTGTCACTTCTTTGGATCCGGAGGTGATCAAGGAGAGCTGCTCCAATGTGAGTTCTTCTATGTTCTCTTTGACTTTAGAGTTAAAGTTGAACCACTTAATTTCATTTTCTATTTTTGTTTGTTTTATATCACTCTTAGTTTTAGGGAAAACACTAGTAAATGTCATGTCTGTAAAATGGATTTTTTCTGTTTCCACAGCCTGTGTTCACGCGCAAAGACACAAAGACCAGCTTTCAGTGGAGAATCCGCAACCTTCCCTACCACAAAGATGTCTTCAGTGTTTCTGTGGAGCCGTCTGAGAGATGCATCATCATAAAAACCTCAAACAAAAAGTAAATATGAATGACAATGCTTTTCTGGTTCAATGGTTCTTTTCATGCCTGTGTTGTACCATAGACTGTATATAAAAAGTGTTGTACACTTGTGTGTTGTAATCCATGAGTCCTCCCTATAGATGGCACTGTTTACAATACATTAGTCTATACAGTGCTGTGATAAACTCATGAGATCCTTTCCATGTCTTATGTCTCTGGCAGGTATTATAAGAAGTTTGTTGTTCCTGATTTAGATCGCAGTCAGCTGCCATTGGACAGCTCTGCAATCAGCTTCACTCACTCCAACAACACTTTAATTGTCAGCGTAAGTCCTATAAAACAATTAAAATAAATTAATCTATATCTCTACTGTTACCTAATGCTTTAAATAGAATGTTGACTGCAGGGACCCAAACAGTATCATCTCTGCAATCTGAATAATAAATAAAAACAATATACAAAATTACTTACTATACTTTTAAAATAATATTTGTATCCATAAATGTTTAACTTATTAATGCATTTTATGTAAATTATGAGGATGCGATACCTGCCTTTTTTTTTCTTAGATTTTGTCCTCCAGGTTTTCCTCTGTGCACCTGTCACTTACTCCACAGTTTTTTGACATTACAACAATATCAGTGTTGTGATATTTGCCTTACATTTTCAGCACTCTTTCGACATGATGACAGTGAGAGATTTGCAGGAGGGAGGCAAGGAGAATGGTGAAGTAATTATTTTTCTTCTCTCTTGTCTAGTACAAGAAACCCAAGGAGATCTTAACCCTTGAACAGGAGCTACTGAAGGAGCTGAAGAAACTGAAGGGGACTGGTGAAGGGGATGTCGATTGCAAAACTCAGTGAATTCTGACTGTGGGAGCAAGAGAATAAGTTGCATTTAAAGCAGAGCATCACTGCATCATTTTCCCGTCACATTTAAGCTCTCTTTTATTTGTCTTTAGTGGATCCCTTCATTAAGAAGACCTTTGCGTAGTGCCTTGTCAATGGTTAAATGCTTCCAATTGTGTTTTCTAATTGGTGTCCCTTTATTAGAGTTGTTAGTGTTTAAAGTGTCCTGCCATTTATATTTGATACTCACAACCATATTTATTAACTTTGTAGCTGAACCATGAGCGATTTGAAATTATATTACAACGGTGTCTATTTTTGCTACTTGTTACCAAACCTACTAGGGAGCAATTTTGATTGGGGTCACATAACCTACCATCCTCCATTCATTGATGTCCTTGTAAAACACTCAAAACACACAATGCCTCATCCCTGTTCGTTCCGGGGTCACTGTTACGAGCACATCCCATTTGTGTTAACTGAATACCCTCATGTTCCTTGCATGTAGTGGGCCACCCTGAAAGCCATTACTGAAACTTTGGTAAGCGAGCAAGCTAGTGTTACTGTTTCCCTTTACAGAGGGTCACTCTGACTCTGTGGTCTCTAGCTAAAACTCCATAGAGCCAAGTTAGAAATAGGTGCCACAGTTACAGAGCTTTGTTCCAAATGGATTTCATGTTATTGTCTGACAAAGACAAATATAAAGACAGTATTTCAAGTGTTTGGATTTTAGAAGTTTATGTGTATATGACATGTAAAGAAGAATTATAGAGATACATGCTTCAAATGGGATATTTGTCTGCTTTTTCCACCAAGTTTAATTAAGACAAACACTGTCCAGTCAGAAATACTTAGACAGTGGATATAAAAAGAACAGCGTTGTTTTAAAGAGACAATGGCATTTAAATATAGATTGTTGAAACCTTGTGATTCCTTGCATTTTTTACCACTTGTCCAAACCCGGAGAGCAAGTGCAAAGAGCAAAGACAAAACCACAGGTCTCTCTCACTATTGTGCTTTGTCTTCTTCCAGATGGAAAGAATATGAATACAAGAAAACATTGTAAACCCAGCCTGTCCTGTTGTTTTGCAAATTTTTGTGAGGGACTTGATGGATTTTTTTTTTTAACTTTGAAAAATGCATTTATAAAATACTTGATTAAGTAGCATTTGCCTGTTTGGTTTTTTAAGAGGTGCACCCTTAATAACACTTAAATAAATCACGCAAGAAGTATATTCTGTAGAGCAGATGTCCTAAATACCAAATATTCATTCTGAGATCTTAATTGTGGTAATTTACTTTTATGCTTTACAGTCTTCAGAGCTCAAGCTGCTGTCAAAACAAATTCCTGCAGCAGCAAACACCAACTAGCAAATTGGACATCCCGCTCATGCACTGTGAGAGCAGCTGAGTCCCTCTGTTCAGGGTCTTCTTCCTCCCCTGTCGTTTGGCCTCTGGTGGTCATGCTCAACTGCTTCTGGGAAGAGAGTTTCTTTTCTACCTCCCTTTTATTCCCGAATGCCTCTTCCCAGCCATTCCCCCTCTTTCAGCCGATGCCACATTTTGCCACACAGGCCCTGATGCTTTTTCTACAACCCCTCCGCTCCCTCTCTGCAAACCCCCCTCGTTCCAACCCTTCACCCCTCCCTGTGTGACTGGCTTCTTTTTGATAACTGACCCCTCCTCGTGTTATTATTCGAACCCACTATTGTATAACATGCCCTTTTATATGAGGTTTCACAAAGGGCCCATTTGATCAGAGGGTTACGGTGTGCGATCGTGAGAAATGCAACTACATGGTGGTAACCTTTGTTTGGGCCAAAATGGTGGGCTGACCTCATCGCTTTTAATGCATAGCTCGGGCCATTCAGGCCCAAGTCTCACTTGCTGAGCACATTGAATTCAGTAGCCTGTCACAGATATTGCCCCTCAGTTATCTGGGTCTCCAGCTTCAAAAAGAAGAAGGAGAAAAAAACAACAGTTTTGGGGGGCAACCAACAATCTATGCTAGCTTTCCATCCCAAAACAAGTACACAAGAGAAGCAGCTCATGAACTGATTCTTTAGTGGTTTTAATATACACTCTACAATAAATATTTCCATCATTTGATCATTTACATTTTTACAGTAAAATATATTCATATATGTATATAATGGCCTCCTAAAGACAAGATAGCATGTCAACTGAGACTCAGATGCTGTAACCACAAGAAAATCCACATATAGCTGCCGTGTCTAGCTTCATTGTACTCATTTCTCTTTTAAACATTCTTTTATTGCTGAGCTGGGGAACTTCTAACCAAAAGGTTTTCATTCATGACAATATTGTTGAGGTCTTCAGTACTTTAAATGACCCTTGATTTAATAAGTAAAATCTGTCCTAAAGTCTGTCTGAATTGGAAATAACTAGCAGATTAGATAATCAATGGTTACATACAATCCAGTACAAAGAATTACACAAAGAAGTCCACAAAATGAGGCAAAAGGTGTATGGGCACTTGACTGTAAAAGTTCATTTCTCTGGGAGCACTTGTTTTCTCTTGTAGTGGTTCTTCTGTGCTGGTTCGTCCACAGTTCTCCTTCAGTGGTTTCAATCCTCAGTGGCCCCCTGTGCGCTGGTGATGGGAATGTTTAGTCCGCTTGCTGAAAGGGTGCATGGGGACAGCCAGAGGAAGGACATCAAATGGTCTCTTCTCGCTCAGCAAGTGCCCCTGGGTAGACGCTTCATGAAGTGGGCCTCC